GCTCTGAGGCGCGCGGGGCGCGGCGGGCGCAGGTGAGAAGCGGCGGGCAGGGCCTTGGGGCCGGAGCCGGGCCGCCGGGGCCTCCCCGGGGGAGCGGCGGCGGCGGGGAGGACGCGCCGGGGGCCGGGCGCCGCAGGGCCGGGCCGGCGGGCGCGCCCCCTCTGCGAACCCGGGCGTCCGGACGCGCGCTGCGGGCTGGGGGCGCGGGGACGCGGCGCGGGTCGCCCGGGAGGGCGCCTGGCGGGCGGGTGTGGGCGGGGGTCCCTCCCTGCCGGCCTGCGGGGTCCCCGCGGCGAAGTTCGGGGTTCGCTTTGTGGCGGCGGAGAGCCGGGTGCCCCGGACCCCACGTGGGCTCGGGGCCGCCGCAGGTGTCAAGCCGCCGCGCCTTTTTTTTTTTTTTTTTTTGCGGTGCAGCACACGGAGCGTGTCCCGCAGGTTTGCCTCCCTGATTGGTTTTGCGTCTCGCGTCCTTTGGTGTTTCCTAAATAGTTTTTTGTGTGTGTCGGGGGTGGGTGGGGGGGAACCTGGAGATCGTGTCCCCCGCTGTCCCCGTGCACCCGCGGCCGGGGGTGTGTGCGACAGACCCGTGCTTCTCCTCCACTGATTGCGCCCCGAAAGCCAGCGGGAGCCAATTTTTGATGGTGGCAAGTGAAATAGGAAGTGTAACTGACGGCCGGTGTGATTCCCAGCCCTCGCAGTTCCTGGGCTCCACGCGGGAAGGGCCCGCGCGTGGGCGTGCAGCCCTGAGCTGCGGGGACAGCCCCACGGGGAGCCCGAGTCCCCAAGCCCCTTCCCCGCACTGCTGCAAGGAATTTCCGCGGCCAAGATCTCGGTGAGGCTCACGCCGGCCCCTCGCTTTGCCTTTTAGGGTTGCATTGAGGTTTGGGGTTTATTTGAGACCCCAGTGCCTTCTGCCAGACATTCGGATCCCTTGAGTCGAAATGGTTGTCCCCGCAAACATCATTGTCCCCAGGAGGCTACTGGAATGTGTCTTTAAGTTTTTGTGTAGTCCAGGTTTATTGTGGAACAGGACCACAAGGTTTCACCACCAGCAGGACCTCGTAGCCATTCCACCTAGCCAAGCGCACACTGGGCTTTGCTGTGGCCGCTCGACGTAGTAGAAGAAAAATGTTGAGTTTTTTTTTTTTTTTCATAACAACAAGATGGGAAATTTAGGCAGGAATATTAAGGAGGAGGAACGAAGACACATAGTTGAACCTTCTTTTTCTGTGATTCTCAGCTGGTACCCAGCTGCCTGGCCACTCTGTCCAGGCTTCCTTACATACACGTTTATTTGGCCGAATTCTTTCATGTGCAGAATCGCAATTTAGCCTTGACCTTACAAGATCATTAACCTCTCACTCCTGTCAAGCTCTGGCAACTGAGTCCAAAATTCATAGTAGGAACTGATTCTTGTTTACATTTTCTGTTATTCAGGGACTCTTTTTAAAATCTTTTTTGGTTTGATTTAAATAAGTTAGTACATTTTAAGTGCTTAGAAAAGTGCCAGGCTCTTAATCATAGGGCCCAATACATGTTTGCTTTTGTTCATTGTAGAAGTGGTTTCTTTATGTGAAAAGTTGGTGTGTATATATATTTTTTTCATTTCAAGGGCAGTGCCTGAGGCAGTTCCATATAAATTAATGATAATGTGTTCATTCTGAAAATATGAAATGTAACAAATTGGGATTCTGACTATAGACCGATTGTGGAGTAGAGGCAGGCAGACCCTTCATTGTTAGCACGTCAGTCGCAGCCCCCTCTCTCAGGGTGTCTGTGTGCCTTTCTTCACTCACCCATGTGTTTAGAGGATGCACTCACGTCTGTATTAATCTGTTGAGACCTTACTGTGCGTACTGTTTGTAATCTGTCTTCCCTTCCAGTTTTCTGGGCGTGTGTCTGTGTCGCTAACTGTTCTTCAATATGTTTTCATGGCTAATATGGGCAGGGGCCATCATTTACCAGTCAATTCCATATTGATCTGTGAGGTTTCCAAACCCTGAGATTTTCTTTATATTATGATGCATTTGGAATTGTTTTCTGTTGTGGACTTTTAAGTTCTGTACTCTTAAGATACAGGAAAATGTAAATTCTGCCGTTTAGGTTCTAAATATGTATTTTTCTTGCCAATGTAGTGGTAGGAAATAACTCGCTTTCCGCCCAATGTCAGCTCCTTTCCCCTCAGCCAGGTCTATGCAGTTATATGCACGGATCTGCACACATACTCTTTTGATGATTATTTTACGTTAGATGTTTATTCATGGAACGGGTTCTTTAAGCTGCCGGTCTCTCTTCAGGTTCCGGCTGTGATTTACAAACCTTTTAAGTCCTGTTAAATCGTAGACTTTCCGGGCTGGAAAGCACCATGGGTTATTCACTGTCTTCCTGGCTTCCGACTAGCCTTTCATGTTCTCTGTAGTGCCCATGCCGGAGAAGAAAACCAAAACTGGGCTTCCACTAGGAGACACCGCAGTAGGGAGTGACTGAGGAGCAGGTGGACGGTTGAGGGGCCCTGGTCAAACTTGCGTGGCGATGGTGGCTTCAGGGAGTTTGCAGATGCCGGGGACCTTAGCTGATGGTCATTCTGCCATCACTTGTGGTGTGCACCCAGGGCGTCCTGGCGGGCCCTGCTTGCTGCTCCTCCGTGGGGCTGCCACCCGCCAAGCGTTTGCTTCGAGGCCTGGGGCCGAGTGCTCACGCTCTCCTTGGGGAATTCCAAGTTTGTAGGCAGAGCTGTACAAGATCTGCTCGAGCGCCGGGAAGCTGTGGGCTCCTGTGGCCCCGAGCGTGACGCTCAGCTTCCGTGGCAGCGCTGTGGGCATTCGGGCCGAGTGCCTCTCCTGCACGTGGCGAGACGCTTAGCCGCAGCCCTGCACCCGCCAGATGCCAGTGGCACCTCCCGCAGTGTGACAACCGGGGAAGTCTCTAGACGTTGCCAAATGTCCCATTGCAAAATGGCTGCTGCGTTACAGGAGGGAGGCTCCTCTGACTGGTGGGTAAATCACTGGCGCTGTTGACCGACCATCCTGAAGTCAGAAACTGTAAGAGTGAGACTGGAGTGTGGGACTTGGATCGCAGAGTCTGCAGCCGACTCTGGTCTGTCCACGTCCCCTCCTGCCTTGGCATCCTTTTGTGGCAACAGAGAAGGTGGCGTGAGGGACCCTAGAGATTATGAAGTTCTCACGACACAAGATCAGCACTCCCAGTATGCAGATTAAATTATTATGGAATTTGAATAAATTTGCATAGAGTTGACGCATGGTGAATCGTGTAAGCATGTGGCCCATTATGCTGAATAGCACAGAAACAACTGTCTTTTCTCTCAGAAAATGGGACTTGGTTGAAGCAGCCCCCTGAAGATTGATGGCAGAAACCAAACTGCGGTTTTTCTAGAAATCTTTTTTTTTTTTTTAAGCAACCAGCTTAGGGTTAAGCACAGAAGTGATGCATTTATGTTGAGGCTAGAAGGCTTACTTTCCAAGTGCTTACCTAACTAAGTCATTGTAATTTAAAGATAGCTTGTTGATCTTTCTAGAAAATACGTGTCCTCAGTACAGCTTTCCCTGCAGGGAGAGGGTAGAAGTCGCTGCCTCTTTGTAAGGATAGATCGTATAGATAAACTTCTCTGATGGCGTAAGTAATCTTTCATCAGAATGTACTGATAAATAAAGCACAGAAGGAGACGTGCTGTGGGAGCCCAGAGTCTCTGCATCACGTCCCTGGAATGAGTGTGTGTGCCGCTGCAATGTTCTCTCTTACAGGGAATGCTTGTCGGCCCCACCCCCGCCTCCCTGAGGCTTGACTTAGGAGTTACTGCGTGTAGTGAATCTAGTTCATTTGTAGTGAAATATGCGTATAATATTTTTCCCAGCACTCTGTAGTATTTACTCCTACAGGCTTGGCTCATGTCACACCTGCACTGGGTTTTCACTTACTAGTCCTTTGGAGCATGCAGTAAAGAAAGTTTCACTGGATACTTATATATTTTCCAGCCATTTTGGTGAAAAGGATATTTTGTAGCTCTTGCAATAAGTCAGATGTCAGGTTGTGCTTTGAAAGAGCTGAATTCTTGGTCTGAAATACGTACAGGCTACATGTATCGGTTAGCTTGGTCACAGCGGGCAGCCTGTCCGGAAATGGGCAGTGCCTGCGTGGTTCACGTGTGCTGGTCCGTGGTTCTGTTAAACTCTGCTGGGACAGTTCTTTGGCACTTTCAGCTAACTTAAATGATGCCACCCAAATTGGCAAAATTTCAGTGTGAATCCTGTGTGGTACCCAAGACCTTCCCGAGACGATGTCACTTATGCGTCATCTGGGGTATCATGTAAGCGGGAAGCCCCGCGTGTTCTCACTCTGTGAGACTCATTTTAGGAGCTTCGCAGTGATCCGAAAGACCCAGTTTTAACGTGCGCCTGGCAGTGGGCGTGTTCAGGCGTCTTGGGATAAGTGTACTCCTTACTCGTAGCTCCCACCACTTGTTAGGGACGTGGGACAGGGCAGCTCACCTGTTTTGGGTGCCCAGTGCTCTCTGAGAGAAGCCCTCAGTGACTCACTGCCCTGGGGCAGCGGCGGGCGGCACAGAATGGCCGGTCACAGATCCAGCCCGGGGACGCACCTGGTCTGCCTGTTTGGGGGTGGGTGGACCGCTTCCTTCTCTCTGTGAAGTGGGGACAAGGTTGCTTCTCTTTCCCTGGGGTGATTTGAGGTGAATAAAAAATATGGGAGCAGGGGCCGGTGCTGCCTACAAAACGCGCCTTCACGTCCCGGCTGCTGCCCCCAGGAGGACAGTGGAAGATGGCCCAAGAGGTCGGGTCCCTGTTACTCACGTGGGAGACCCGGGTGGAGCTCCTGCCTCCTGGCTTCAGCCTGACCCAGCCTGGCTGTTGTGGCCATTTGGGGAGTGAACCAATAGATGGAAGATCTTTCTCTCTCTCCTTCCCTCCCTCCCTCTCTGTGTAATTCTGCCTTTCAAATAAATAAGTGAATAAATAAATCTTTACCGTTTGAAATACTTGAGGTTTTTGGAGCAGCCCTTACAGGTTGCTGATAACAATACCACAGTCTGGGTGAATTAGGAAGAAAGGGGTTGATTTGGGCTCAAGGTTCTGAAGGTCAGAGGTCGAGGGGCTGGATCTGGGGATGGCCTCTTGCTGGCAGGCTCCGTCCCGCCGCGTGCATGTGTGTGTCATCCAGTCTGCTCTTGTAAAGCCCCCAGGGTTCTGTCGCGAACCCTCCCCACCCCCACCAATGACCTTATCTAACCCTGCTCACCTCCAGACACCACAGTTGGATCAAGTTTCTACTCCTTGATAGCACCATAAGCTCAAATCCAGCCATAGCAGCTTGTCAGGACCATGAATAGCATCTTTCTTACGTCTCCTGGTGCGTGAGCCCTGGGAGATAATGTGGCTCACTTCTTACTGAGGGACATCCCGGTCCCCGAACATGGTGGGGGTGAGGTGACCTTCTAGCCCCTTCCATGCCTTCCCAGTGCCAAGCCCTGTGTCTTCTACTCCTCTCTCTGGGTACTTTCCCCTAAGCAGTGTCCTTGCAGCTCGCCATCGTTAACCTGACGTCCTGTCTGTGTGGGGCCTGTGTTTCTGATGTAGCGTCCACGGCACGCCTGGCTTCTGAACGGGGCTCCCCACGTTCTCCTTGGGTTCTGTCCCTGTTCCTGCTGCGCTCTCTCTAACATCGTCTGGCGGCTCTTGTGCAGCCCTGGCCTCAGTGCTGGGCTCACCTCACCCTCTCCTTTACCTGCAGCGCACTGCTCCGCTAACCCGTCCTCCACCGCTGGTGCCCGCCGCGGTTTTTGTTTGCTTTCAGCTGTTGCCCGCAGTTCCAATCCTAACTGCCGTTACCCTGGATTCTCAACTGGCTTGCCTGCCCTGAGTCTCCAGCTGCCCACCCTCTCTCACCTCCTGGCTCTTTCCTGGCAGCGGTAAAAGGTATAAGACTTTGCTTATGCTGCCTCTTCAGCCGGAAAATCCCCAGGGCCCATCGCAGGCGCCAGCACTGCCTTCCTGATGGGCAGTCCTGCACCAGCTTCCTCCTGCAGGTGTCGCGAGCTCTGCTTTTCAGGAATTCCTCTCCCGCTGTCCTCTGCAGACTGCCAGGCTTTGGCAGTGGGTCAAGGGATGCAGTAATAACTCCTTGGCAACATCTGGGGAGCCCCGTCCCTGCAGTCGGGCTTGGCTATCAGCTGGAACTCAGAGCACCTGGAACTGGCCCCGTGTATCCTTACCTGAGTTGCACTGGTTGCAAATTCCAGTAGGCAAGCTTTGGGAGAGTCTCCTTCCTTCCTTCCTTCCTTTCCTTCCTTTCCTTCTTTCCCTCCTTCCCTCCTTCCTTTCTTCCTTTCTTCCTTTCTTCCTTTCTACAGAATTAGAGAGACAGAAAGGTCTTCCTTCCTTTGGTTCACCCCCCAAATGGCTGCTACGGCCGGCACCCCGCACTGATCCGAAGGCAGGAGCCAGGTGCTTCTCCTGGTCTCCCATGGGGTGCAGGGCCCAAGCACTTGGGCCATCCTCCACTGCACTCCCTGGCCACAGCAGAGAGCTGGCCTGGAAGAGGGGCAACCGGGACAGAATCCGGCGCCCTGACAGGGACTAGAACCCGGTGTGCCGGCGCCGCAAGGCAGAGGATTAGCCTATTGAGCCGCGGCGCCGGCCTGTACTTTTCCTTTAAAAGAAGAATAACTCGTATATAGAGCAAGGCTTCTTAAACCTTATAACAACTCTAACTCTCCCTTCCTCCCTCCCTCACCCCTCACACACACACACTGGTCTGCAGACATTTAGGCATTGCTATTGTTTTAAAATTGTCTTGGGGCCGGCGCTGTGGCTCAGTAGGCTAATCCTCACCTAGCGCGCTGGCACACCAGGTTCTAGTCCAGTCGGGCACCGGATTCTGTCCCGGTTGCCCCTTCTTCCAAGTCCAGCTCTCTCTGTGCCCGAGAAAGCAGTGGAGGATGGCCCAAGTGCTTGGGCCGTGCACCCCATGGGAGACCAGGAGAAGCACCTGGCTCCTGCCTTCGGATCAGCGTGGTGCTCCGGCCGCTGGCAGCCATTGGAGGGTGAACCAACGGCAAAAGGAAGACCTTTCTCTCTCTCTCTCTCTCTCTCTCTCTCTCTCACTATCTACTCTGCCTGTCAAAAAAAAAAAAAAAAATGTCTTGGGAATAGAAGTAGTTACCTATTTAGGTGATAAACACTCAGCCTCAGGTTATTTAAAGTAGAAGGGCTGTTCCCTATCAGAATAAAATGATAGCTTAGTGAGATCTTGGGGGAAGACCTGTAGAAACCTCCCTGTGGTTCAAAACACAGAATAATCACTGTCAGTCTACTGACATGATGTCAGTGTGCCTGGCACCTCTCTAGAACAGTAGAGTTGCACCCTACCCGGGGTTACAGTTCTTCTTGGTGTTCCCCTGTGAATTCAGGAAGCCTCCCTATGGCGTACATGAGTTTACATGGAAAGTGAGCTTACGTGTGTACCTCTTGTGTAAGAGAAACCAAAAGAGACCCAGGCAGCCACTTGTAAGATGGTCGTGTTAGTGCTTAGTGTCTTTATGTGAGAAGTGAGTGCTGGGGTGCCAGGTGGTATGGCCATGCTCTTGTAGCTTTCCTTTACATTTTAAGAAATGCCAGATGTTTTGCAGGGTTTCTGAAAATCTGAACTTTAAAGATTTATTTATTCAATTTGAAAATCAGAGTTGTAGCGAGAGAGAATCTTCATCTGCTAGTTCACTTCCCAGATGGCCACAATGGCCAGCACTGGGCCAGGCTGAAGCCAGGAGCCAGGAGCTTCATCCTGGTCTCCCATGTGAGTGACAAGGGCCCAAACACTTGGACCATCTTCTGCTGTTTTTCAAAACCAGGCTATGAGCAGGGAGCTGGATTGGAAGTGGAACAGCGAGGACATGAGCCAGTTCCCTATGGGATGCTGGCATTGCAGGCAGTGCGTCCACCTGCAGTGTTCCCCCCCCCCCCTTATTTTTTAAAGATTTATTTATTTGAAAGAGTTAGGAGAGAGAGAGAGAGAGGAAAGAGAGAGAGTTCTGTTTACTGGTACACTCTCTAAGTGGCCCCAATGACTGGGGCTGGGCCTGGCTGAAGCCAGGAGCTTCATCTGGGTCTCCCACATGGGTGCAGGGGCCCAAGGACTTTGGTCATCTTCTGCTGGTTTCCCAAGTGCATTAGCAGGGTGCTGGGTCAGAAGTGGAGCAACCGGGACTCAAATCGGCTGCCATGTGGGGATGGCAGTGACACTGTGTTACAGGGAAAACAGCGACAAAGAAAGGTGGCTCCAGTTCTTGTCTCACATAGAAGAGGAATTTCCATGTGGACAAGGCAGTGAGCAAAGCAAGGTTTATTTAAGTCGGAAACCGCCTGCTGTGGCGGCAAGGAGCTGGGCTCCGAGAGAAAGACCCAGGAAATCTGAACTTTAAAGGTTGAATCACAAGAGCGGCATCTGCGTTGGCAGCCGCTGTGGGAGAGCAGCAGCTCATAGGAGTGAACGGAGGATCCGTTTTGGTTTGGACATCGTGAAATGCACCACATGATGTCTTGCTTTAGAAATATTGGGCGGAAGCTTGGCATTTGAGTGTTAGTGAAGAATTGACGTAAGTTTTCTTCTATAAAAATGTAAAGTTTTAATGCCTCTGACATAGGGGAAACGTTAGAAAGAAGCATCTTTTTATCAATACTTTGCTTTCAGTGCTGTTCTGCAGAATATACAGTCAGCGGTGGTTAACCGGCGCATTTCCTGGGAGGCACGGGAGCTGCAGTGAGGACCTGAATCTTCCCAGTTCCCCGCAGAGAGCAGAACCCAGCCTCCACCTTCTCATGCTGATTTCGGCATCCGTAGTTTTTGGCAATTAGTCTCGAAAATAAGGGAAGGAGGGGCCAGTGTTGTGGCGTAGCAGGTAAAGCCACCGCCTGCAGTGCCGGCATCCCATATGGACAGCGGCTCGAGTCCCGGCTGCTCCACAGCTCTCTGCTATGACCTGGGAAAGCAGTAGAAGATGGCCCAAGTCCTTGGGCCCCTGCACCCACGTGGGAGACCTGGAGGAAGCTCCTGGCTCCTGGCTCCTGGCTTCAGATCGGCGGCCAATTGGGGAGTGAACCCGCAGATGGAAGACCTCTCTCCCTCTCTCTCTGTCTGCCTCTCCTTCTCTGTGTAACTCTGACTTTCAAATACATAAATAAATCTTAAAAAAAAAAAAATAAGGGAAGGAAATTAGCTTTTTAATTCGAGGGTGTTTTGAGTGACAAAATTGCCTTGTTTGGTAGACTGAGTGATTCTTCTGTGTTTTGAACCATAGGGAGGAATATCCTGCTACAGGGAGAGGTGTGATTTGTTTTAGTTTCTTGAGAGAAACTAGGAATTATTAATTATGACATCAGAGGGAATTACTAAAGTCCTCAACAATGCCTGAGATTTGTGAAGTAAAAAATTACATATTCTATGAAATATGACACAGGTACATAAATTAATCAAAAGAATTTAAGGGAGGGCCCCGGCGCTGTGGCATAGCGGGTAAAGCCGCTGCCTGCAGTGCCAGCATCCCATATGGGTGCCGGTTCAAGTCCCAGCTGCTCCACTTCCGATCCAGCTCTCTGCTGTGGCCTGGGAAAGCAGTAGAAGATGGCCCAAGTCCTTGGGCCCCTGCACCCACGTGGGAGACCAGGAAGAAGCTCCTGGCTCTGGATTGGTGCAGTTCCAGCCGTTGCAGCCAACTGGGGAGTAAACCAGTGGATGGAAGACCTCTCTGTTTCCCTCTCTGCCTCTCCTCCTCTCTGTGTAACTCTGACTTTCAAATAAATAAATCTTTTAGAAAAAGAATAAGGGAGAGCATATATTAAGTGCCAGCTGTCTACAGCATCAGCCGGGTCAGTGACGGAAATTCACCAGACGCTGCACAGCTGCCCGTTTGTTTCTGAGCGAGTTGTTTAGGATCAGAGGCTTGGAGCAGTGTTTTTGAAGAATTTACCTTGCATCTTTTTTTTTTTTTTTTTTTTTTTTTAAGGTAAAAGAGGAGATATTCTGGGATTGAAAAGGCCCTGGAGCGCCACAATCCGAGTGCGGGTGTAATGGTGCTTTCCTAGTGTGCCAGCAGGTCTCTGGCGACATGGTGTGTGGTGGTGTTTGGCTGCTGCGGGTTCCTGGGAGCTGCAGGGCTGTGGACTGCAGAGCTCTGTGACTTGACGTACTCAGACAGAAGCTCTCCTCAGTCCTGGTTTCTCAGTGGGGCTCTGCGCCCCCCAAGCCGCTGACGGCAGCAGCCCCTCTAGTGTGTTCAGCCTGTTACAGGAACCATTGTCAGTTTCAGATTCTGCCACCTGGAGTGGACTGGCGAAATGGCCACTTCCTTATTTAGGTTTGTGCCAAGGCAGTCTCTGCTCCGTGCGTTTGGGGAATCAGGAACTGTGGTGTGCCGGGCCTCATTAATGGGAGAAATCACCGGTTTGTCTGTGACTGTTCCATTGCTTGTGTGCCTCCTGCTGGGTTTGGAGGTGGGGAGGTTCCTCTGTGTCTCGTCTTCCTGCTGCCTGGCCATGGGGAGACGTTCTTCCCAGGGCTGAGAACCGCAAGTGCTTTTAAGCACTGATTCAGCAGTTCGCCAAATCCTCGCTGGGTTTCCGGTCTCCCTCCTGGTCTCCCTTTCCACTCACACACACTCTCCTTGTTCTAAAAACGATGGACGTATCAGGTTTGATTTTTTCTTTAGTAATACAGCCTGGTTTTCACGGGAGGTAGGGGTTGTCACTGTGGAGCCAGATGCTGATGCTTGGGGGCTTGTATTCCAGGAAAGGAGAATCAATGCGTTTTCATCGAGCAGATTCAGCGTCAGCGCTCGTGCTTAATCTCACAAGTGGGCGCTGCACGTTTTCATATTGATTTTCTGGAAGATGGTAATTTGGTGATTCCAGTGTTTTGTTAGGAA